ATTAACTTAGGAATGAATGAATCTGCCGACTTGAGATTTCTCTTTGCATTTCCATTTCATAGATAGGCTCTCCGGCCAACCAATATGGCATGCAAATAATAATCTTGGTCTTACTTTTGCCATCTTATTTTGGCAATGCCTAAATATACTTTCAGTATTAGACGTACAACTGAAGTCGTTAACTAAACAGTAATATGTTTGCCGAGATGTTTGGCTTAAGTTCATTATTTTTCACTGTTGATAGAGATAAGTGGGGATATAATGCGATCAGTTCTTCAACTCTGCGAAGGGGACACGACGACCTTTTGTGGGCATCCCTCTAAATGCTCCATTGCCGACACGTTAGTGCTTCTAAACTGCTAGTTTGCTTTTGTTGGGTCAGTGGTCGCTATCCAAATTAAATAGGTTACGTTCATTCCTCTCTTCTACGCATATCCATGGGTCCCGATGGCGGTACCCCACTTCTTCCAGTCTCCAAAATCGTTAATTCTAACGAAACTCCCAAAATCAAAAGTGATGTTGGAGCAGCTTAATGAAACTTCACTATGCACAGTGTGTGTGTGTAAAATAGATGGATTGGTTGTTCAGCGAGTAAGAAGTTAAAAAAAAAAAAGAGTAAAGTTGAGTATGTGGAAATTATACGCACATCTTCTGACCTACCGGTCGAAAGAAATCAGAAATACTTCCGTTGATATGAGGGAACTTGGACTCAAGCTATCCCTTTAAGAACAGTGTATCAGCAGATCATAGGGGGTGATTGCTTACAGAACATTGAACAAATATGTTTCTAGCATGAATTCAATACCTCAGATAATGCGGACGAACATGCATATACCGCTTGATTCAGATAGCAAAGTCTTCTCACGGCACTCGTGACCAAATGGCTTATTATGAATACAGGACTTGCAACAAGAAGACTGTGCTGTTTTTAATAGCATCTTCCTCCAGCGTGTATCATCAATCTCTGTATATATATTTGTTTAAAACCCTGGACTCACATGCCATAAATGGCTGTACTCGCCAATAAATATTCCCACTAAGGTCCCATTGTGTCATTGTTTTTAAGACCAGATTCCTCCTTGTGGGATAAGAATGCCAAAGCATGCGTGTGTGTGTGTGTGTGTAGTGTACTAGAAAGTTGTACCTACAGGCAATATTCCGCTTTCACAAGAAGTCAAAAGCATTGGTCGATCGAGTCAATGACTGTGCACAGATTACTGCAGCTATCAATATTGTACCTCTGATCTTAATAATAAGATCTCGTTTGTAGTCTATAAATAAGATTTTATAATTAGATCCGGAGATAGTATAATACAAATCAAATTAATTAAAAATATTCACAAATAGTAAATAGTATAACTACGAGTACGAGGAGTACCTTGTTGGTACGGACTCAACTTTTTTCTTGTTCACTGGAAATATGGGTATCTTTTATATCTGCTTTTCTTTTGGCGGACTTTGTGTAAGTAAATAGATATAGACATTGTTGCTTTCATTTTCAGGGGTAGGGGCCGTTGTTTTATATAATTCATGTGAGTTATCTATATCTATCAATCATCGAGTTGGTGACGGGAGGCCGCCATGCATTGTGACTATGATATTTTTTTGCTCATGAAGGTCCCCCTCCAAGCACATATCATCTTTCCACTTCATCACTTGTGCTTTTGGACAAGGAAAAGGCCATTTTGAAGTCAATATATATATTATATGTCATATAAAGCTTTATATACAAACAACCTGTCCAGTTGTATCCCAAGACCACCTTCTCCCAGAGCAAGCACAGCTAATTATGCACGCTGAAGCCAAAAGCCTCTGTTTCCTTAGGGGCCATGCTTTAATTGTTTTGTTTTGTTTACTCAATTATTATCACAGCTTTTCCTCTTAGCTTGTTGAACATATTTATTCTCTTCCTCTCTTTCTTAGTTTTCTCAGATTCAAATGTCATGTTCGGTCCTTCTGCAATGAAATTTACCCATTTGGTGTCGCCATGGATCTAGTGTATTCATCAGGGTCAGATGCTAGCCCTGCCCAAAGGGAAAAAAACAGAGAATAGTACCCATTTGGCCAAACAGATCTAGCATGTTAAGAAATTTGGATCATGACTTCAGAAGGATGTACAAAAAGTATTCATTTTCACTGTCTATATATAGTGTTCAATCTTTCATTTCCCTTTATCGGGGTAAGGGGCCGGGGTGGTTAACCTAGAGCTTTCTGATTGTTTTTTGATTTAATTTCTTCGGAATCTCTCTAATGTCATTTTTAAACAGGAATACAAATGTAGTGTTTTAGTCATAATATTTATTGTTGAGAATTAAAATTTGCAGCGATCCTACCTAATATGTGTGTGTGTGTGAGGACTATGGACAAAACAGCAAGCAAAGGGTTTTGAGGAAGTTAGTCAGCAGTTGAGAGATTCTTCGCTGGTGGTGAAGCCAGGATGACAAGGAAAAACCATATAATAGTAGTAAATGGATGGAAGACAGTGGCAGAAGAAAGTGAAAGTACTAACTGTCAAGCGGAAAAATGTTACCTGATGTGACCACAAACTAAACTACTATTTCGGTTTCTTAATATAAAAATTCGTTTAATTTTTATTTTGATTCTAAATACAATAATCAAATTTAACGTCTTTTATATTTATTTATTTATTTTTAAAGTAGTCCTTATAATAATAGTAGTTCTAACCAATACATTTGATTAACAAAGATATTTTAGAAAAGACAATACATATTTATGACAAATAACTAATTTAATTAATTTTTTAACTTATTTAAATTAATCAACTAGATCTTAGATGAAAAATTGGAGGTAGTATTAACATTAATATGGGAGGCAAGGGGAGTTAGGTGTGATAGGATGAGTGGGTCCTGGCTTTCCCCTATATAACTGGCTCTCTACTCCATGTTCCTCCATTTACAAACGCTTCATTTCTTTTTCCTTGCCGGTCCAATGTGGGCACAAGTCACCCTCAACCAACACTTTTCCCCATTTCATCCTGTTTTTAACAATAATTGATTTATATAAATTAAGAAAATTAAGTAAATAAGTTATTTATAAAAAGCTGTGTGTGTTATTTATTTCCTTGTCTATTAAATAACTGCAACTGGTCCTCACTAAAATGATCGCAGGGGGTTGATTCATCACCTCTCGTCCTCGATTGATCGGCACAATTATATAATATCTCTTGCCATGATTTTATTTTTAAAAAAATTGTATTTATTAAATATCCAAAAGTCATCTTTCTTGACGTTTGTTTCTCGCCTAAGATCATCAGCTCATTCCAGAGTAACGAAAAAGACAGATACGAAATACGAAAGTGCACAGAAAACCACGTGAGTTCCTCCGTCTGGGGGCTGGCAACTCTGCTCTCACATCTGGCTCTGAGCCTCCATCGACTTGTTCTTCACTTCCATCCGAATCTTCCGTAAATATAAAGAAAAATAAAAAAAAACTGAGAGAATCTCAAAAAATATTTTTTAATTTTAAAATTTTAAATCAGTTTTATTTACTACATTTCAATAGTAATTAACAATATTTAAAAAATAAATAATAACGTATTTTTGTTGTTATTCTTGATTTGAAATTTTAAAATTTTAAAAGTATTTTTTTTAGATTCTTTAAAAAATATTTCTCAAATTTTGAAATTTTGAAATATATTTTAATATTAATTAACTATACTTAAAGAAAAAATAAAAATAAATTTTTAATAATTAACTACACTTAAAGAATAAATAACAATACATTTTTATAGTAATTTTTAATTTAAAATTTTTAAATTTGAAATTTTTTTTCAAATTATAATTTTTTTGGCCTGATTTTCAAAATATAATAGCACTTCCTATTACTACAAAGTTAGAAACGTGATATGCAAATTAATAACTTACATAATAAGTCTTCAATATGACGACTTATCTTAAATTCTAAGCAAAGTACGCAACCCAAATTCCAATTAAATTTATGGTGTGGTGTGGGAGATTAAGTGATTAATTATTAATTAGGCACATTCAGTCCCAAAAAAAAAAAAATTATTCAGGAACAAATTGCCAAATCGGCAAAAGCACAGCTTCCCAATCTCCTGTCATGCTTTTGACCAAAAACCCCATCTCCTATCATCCCTCCCCCACCCTTCTTATCGCCTTGGGCCCCACTCTTTGATAAGCCCACTCTCAGCTACACCTACCCTGTTTCTTTTTTTTGGCTACACCTACCTTTTTACTCTCCTCTTTGACCTACACCTCCACCCCATTTTTGGTAAAAGATCTGGATAAAAAGATCTTAAAACATGCGAACGAGAGAACATTGCAACGCAAAGCCTAGTCATTCACTTGTTTAGCTCCAAAGAATCTTCCAAATCATAATTGTGCCTTCAAGAATTCTAATTATTATGTATAAACAAAATGTTCCAAAAAATCCTAAAGAAGGATTACAAAATACATGAACACGCATGAATTTTTTTTGGGTAAAAAACTGGATGAAAGATCCTAAGAATCAAATAAATGGATAAAATTTGATTTCCAGTTATTTATATTAATTTTAGATACTATTATGCCATCAGAGCTCACGCTGCAGCATATTTTTATACTTGCATGATTCTAAATATAAAACCTCTTGTATAGTGTAATATAATAAGAGGGTTTTATATTTAGAAACTGAAGAATAAAAAAAACACCAAAAAAATAAATTTTATCACTGTAGACTTTATTTTTATGATGATTTCTAAAAATAAAAATCGATTTTTATTACTTCGGGCATTTGTTTCTTTCTTTCTTTAATTCTTTTGTTTTCCCGGGCTCCTACGTATTACGCGACAAATTTCGCGCTTTGCCCCATTTCATTTCAGGATCCAAAGATCAAGCAGATTAATTTCAGCGAGCACGTAGTTTCAAGTCTTGCATATTGGCACAAGTGTGTGTATATAATATTCACGACGCCTCTCCCCCCCTTCTCTTGTTCCTTCTCATCACTGCCATTCGCCATCCCCTGCCTCTCTCCTCTGCCTTCCAAACAAACCGTGTTTCCGCCTTTCAATTTTCCCAACCAAACCAACACTCGATTTCCGGCCTAACCGTCACTTCCCTTTTTCTCAGGCGCCTTTCATCAACTTACCTGCTTGCTTGTAATTTTCTCCCACTTTCATGAACTTTACCCCTCGTTTTTCTTGGTGATAGATTGTGGGGCATCAGCGAAAGAGTGATCAGCTCTCTTAAAGGGGACTGCTGTATGTCAGTAGACTGCTTTGAGACTTATTGCAGTGGAATCGGCGAACTCGCTAACCCGTTGCAATGGCCTCAACTTCGAAAAAAGCGACGCCTCCTTCTTGCTGTGCCACCATCAATTCAGTTCCTGTCACACGACTCGCAGCGCCGTCTGTCGAAGCTACCAATGCGGTTGTTGAGTTGACGCATTGCGCCGATGGTCACCGATTCAAGAAGGTAGCCATGGCGACTTTGATCAACCCTGTTGATCCGCTTCCAGAACCTTCCACCAATGCTGCCGCCGCCAAAGGTATCGCTTTCACAACTCCTCTGATTTTGTTCTTATTATTTTGTTTTGGTTTCATGCCCATTAGATGCCAGATTGCAGATTGCAACTCTTCTTGATGTGAGATTTTGCTTGATATTCTTTGATTTCTTTCAAGTTCCTCTGCCCTCCTGGCCTGTAAATTTATTCTCTCTCTTTTTTTTTTTTTTGTCTCAATTTCTTACAGCGCTCTTGGCTCAGTGCTGTTTTCTTATTTCATCTTTCTGTGATCCTTTGAATTTCAGTACAGAGAGTCTGTTAGATTGAAACATAGACCAAAACAGAGATGCGTTATGTCTAATAAAAGACAAGCATAAAAATGACATCTCATAGTATATAGGTTATGTTCACTTTGGAGACCGTCAAATTCTGGGTATTGAATATCTTTATGGTCGGTTAAATTTCAAATGCCTCTCTGCATGAAAAGCATCATTGAGATCAGGGTCACGATATTCTTGCTCTGTTTCCTATGTTATTTTCATCTAAAGGAATGTTTGCCATTCTTTTTCTTTTTTTCCCGCTCTTTAAATAGTCATGCAAGTTTTCTCATTTATAGTTGTTATATAACGACCAGGAATCACTTTAATGCCAAGGGCCCAGTCAAGCCACCCTCTAGATCCTTTATCCGCTGCTGAGATCGCCGTGGCAGTGGCTACTGTCAGAGCAGCTGGAGCCACACCTGAGGTTATTATATGCACAGTGAATGTTTTAAAGGGGATCGCTTTGTTGCTTTTTGTTTTTAGCATTAGTTATTATCTGAATAAAATTGAGTTCCAGTGTAACAGTCGATTATTTCTTTACCCACTGCTTATATTTCTTCCAGGTCAGAGATGCTATGCGCTTCACTGAAGTTGTTCTGCTGGAACCAGACAAACATGTTGTTGCACTAGCAGATGCATATTTCTTCCCTCCTTTTCAACCGTCATTACTTCCTAAGACTAAAGGAGGGCCTAATTTTCCGATTAAGCTGCCTCCCAGATGTGCTAAACTCGTCGTTTACGATAAGAAGTCAAACCAGACTAGTGTGTGGATTGTTGAACTATCAGAAGTACACGCAGTAACTCGAGGTGGTCATCACAGGGGAAAAGTAATTTCATCACAGGTTATTCCAGATGTTCAGCCTGCAATGGTGGGTTTAATTTCTGGCTCTTTTGCTCGCACCTTTTGATTCTGGCTAATGCTAATCTCACTAAGAATAAACAAAATTGGAAGAAAAAAGACCCCAAGCATCGGAATCAATAGTTGTTTATTGTTGATTCCTTTTCCGCAGCTCTTAACGTTGTATTCAGAGGTTTGTATATTCCCCATCTCCCTATGAGACAAGAATTGGGTTGGTTCGTCAGATGGGTCAAATGAGAAATAAAGGTTTCATTCTTAATATTTCAGAACATAATCAATGGAGATAATACATATTTCGGTGTAATTGTCAATTCCGCTCTATCTTTTGATCTTCAGGATGCTGTGGAGTATGCAGAATGTGAAGCTGTCGTCAAAGACTTTCCACCTTTTAGAGAGGCTATGAAGAGAAGGGGCATTGAAGACATGGACCTTGTAATGGTTGATGCATGGTAATTTAACTGGACTTCCATTCTTCTCAGAGTATTTGTTCGGAGAAGATGCTATCATTCGTTGCACATTTTCACTTTATAAACTTAGTCCTCCATAATGTTGCTGCAGGTGTGTTGGTTATCATGGCCAAGATGATGGTCCCAGCCGAAGACTGGCTAAACCACTTATATTTTGTCGTAGTGAGAGTGATTGCCCTATGGAAAATGGCTATGCACGTCCAGTTGAGGGCATCTATGTGCGTGTTGATATGCAGAAGATGGAGGTGATTGAATTTGAAGACCGTAAACTTGTTCCTCTGCCTCCAGTTGATCCCTTGAGAAACTACACTGCAGGTGAAACAAGGGGTGGCTCTGATAGAAGTGATGTAAAGCCCTTACAAATCATTCAGCCTGAAGGTCCCAGCTTTCGAGTTAACGGTCGCTATGTAGAATGGCAGAAGGTGGATGCGAAAACATATCATTGATCTGTACTTTTAAATCTAGAAAGCAACAAAATAGCAAGGAATTACACTATTTCTGAATGTAACTAGATCTCCTGGTTGTTTTGCTTATTAACAGTGGAACTTTCGAATTGGATTTACACCCAGGGAAGGCTTGGTTATATACTCTGTTGCCTACGTTGATGGTAGTCGAGGGCGAAGGCCTGTTGCACATAGGTTGAGTTATGTGGAGATGGTTGTGCCGTATGGAGATCCAGATGAACCACATTACAGAAAAAATGCTTTTGATGCTGGGGAAGATGGCCTGGGAAAAAATGCACATTCTCTCAAGAAGGTTTTAGAATGATATATCTATCCTCTATCCTAATAATTTTGCTTGTCATGTTGATCTTTTCTCTGAATAAAATATATTAATGGGCTTTAAGTTAAATATGTTGTTGCAGGGTTGTGATTGTTTGGGGGTCATTAAATATTTTGATGCTCACTTCACAAATTTCACTGGAGGAGTTGAGACAATTGAAAATTGTGTTTGTTTGCATGAAGAGGATCATGGAATCCTATGGAAGCATCAAGACTGGAGAACTGGCTTAGCAGAAGTCCGAAGGTCAAGAAGACTTTCGGTTTCTTTTATGTGTACAGTGGCCAACTATGAGTATGGATTTTTCTGGCACTTTTATCAGGCAAGTCAATTATCTTTTCACTAGTTACTTCGTCTCGTTAACCGGTAATTTCTTTTGGTAAAAAGTGTGTGGAATGCATTGTTCCAGGATGGAAAAATTGAAGCTGAGGTCAAGCTAACCGGAATCCTCAGCTTAGGAGCGATGATACCTGGAGAGTCTAGAAAATATGGTACCACGATTGCACCAGGCTTGTATGCTCCCGTCCACCAACACTTCTTTGTTGCTCGCATGGACATGGCTGTTGATTCTAAACCTGGTGAAGCTTTGAATCAGGTAGCTCCACTTGAATTACAATTTTCTTTATTATTTTTTACGTAGACGTTTATTATAGAATAAAATGTGCTTTTCCATTTCTGTCAACATCTATTGTTGCTGGCATTTCAACCAATTTTAATGATAACAGTTTTAGAATATAATAAATTTTCGTTGACTTCACAGTCCGATGAGGATGATTTTCCCTCCTTAAGAAATATATTTTGATATATATCAACTGTTGTTATTGCTTAACACCGCTGTCTTATCCTGAAAGAATTCGATTTGATCTCTTTGATGTAAATCAGCAGCGGCAAAATCCGTTGAAGTAGAACCACAAGGTAACAGTGAAGTCTTGAATGTAGTCCGAACATCATGCCCACAACAGTTGCTATCTATAGCTCTTACAATGCCATTGCTTAGTATCCCTATCATATCCCTTTCTATTTGAGATTGAGTTTACGTAATATTATCTGGATTCTCCGTCCCGTTTGAGTGGTGTATTCTGTTTGAACTAGTTGCATGTTGTTACTGATTGCTTCAATATGCATATTGCAGTTTCCTGTTCGATCATACACTAATTACTTCGTGACAGTTATTTTCCAAGTCCACATTTTTACCCACCCTTCACGTATGTCAGGTTGTAGAGGTCAACGTCAGAGTTGAGAAGCCTGGGAATGATAATGTTCACAATAATGCATTCTACGCAGAAGAGGCTCCGCTCAAATCTGAGTCGGAAGCCATGAGGGATTGCAATCCTTTGACCGCCCGACATTGGATTGTAAGGCTTTTCTGGGTTTTATGGTCAAGTTTTGTCTGTTGTTGATAATGTCGTGCTTGTTGACTTTTCTTTTTCTCAAAATGTTACTACTAGCAATGGCCGAGTTTATGGTCAAGTTTTGTTTATTGTTGTTGATATTTGGTTGTGATTTTAATAATGGTTTAGGTGAGGAATACCAGAACAGGAAATAGAACGGGGCAATTGACGGGATACAAGCTAGTACCTGGTTCAAACTGCTTACCATTAGCAGCTCCTGAGGCCATGTTCTTAAGAAGAGCTGCCTTCTTGAAGCATAATCTTTGGGTGACGCCATATTCACGGGAGGAGATGTTCCCAGGAGGGGATTTCCCTAATCAAAGCCCTCGCATAGGTGAAGGACTAGCTTCGTGGGTGAAGCAGAATCGATCTTTGGAAGAAGCTGATATAGTTCTATGGTTCTCTCTCTCTCTCTCTAATAGCACATGCATGAATTCATTTCAGCTTTTATAAACTGATGATAATACTGAATTTGCCAGGCACTACTTGTATCCGTGATGTTTATTTTAATTGTGCAACTCTGCGACAAACATGAACATATTGAGTTGTTTATATGTTACTCCTCTTGTCCTAAATATCAGACCCACTTTGTAGTGTAATGTACACTATAAAGTGAGTCTTATATTTAGAGCCAGAAGGAGTATATTTTTAGCTCATGATATGGTTCCACATTATGGGAGTAACTGGGATTAAATGCAGGTACGTATTTGGAATCACTCATGTCCCTCGGCTGGAAGACTGGCCTGTTATGCCAGTAGAGCGCATTGGTTTTATGCTCATGGTAAGTGCCTCCTCCTCCTTCTTCAATCAAAATGTTGTAAGCTTTTGCAATGCAACCTGGCGTTTATAAACTTGAGTATGGTGTTGAGATTGAAAAGTAGTAGTGGGAATTGTGAGTGACGGTGGTCGTGTTTGTGGGTGCAGCCTCGTGGATTCTTCAACTGCTCGCCTGCTGTAGATGTGCCCCCTAATCCATGTGAGATGGACAGCAAGGACCATGAGAGCAAAGACAACAAGCCCATCCAGAATGAATTAGTGTCTAAGCTTTAGATGCTTGTCTCCTTCCTCTAATCCTTTATTTGTTTGTTGCTCTCCTTCTTCAGACTTAATTACTATTCTGCTGCCTCCTCTGTATTCTTGACTTGAGCCGTACTATACTCTATTTTCTATTGTCTCATCTGTTATTCGAACTTTGAGCTTTGAAGTGAACAAGAGCGGCTTCCCAGTGACTCGTGTATAATGGATGAACTATCTGCTATTTTTTTCAATTAATTATAGACCATTCACTTGTTAAATTTTTAACATTTAAATTTTAAAACTATTAAAGTAAGTTATATTTATTTGACCAGTGAAAGATAAATGTCAGCCAGCTGCCAGCAGTTGGCCAATAGCCGGTCAACTTTAGCCGATGGTCAGCAATTGGTCAAACATTCCAAATTGGTCATCCCGATCAAAGAGCATTGAAATTATTTCCCGTATTTTCCATATTACTCTCAATCGTTTCACCGCCGCTGGTTTCAGGAAGGTTTCGAACTTTCTCGAATCTTTCGTCACCTGGGTCTGGTCCATTGTTCACATTGTTCGACTCAAGGAAGCTGCTTCACCGAATCACCGTGAGCACAAATTGCTGCTACCAATGCCCTGGGATGGCTTGACATCTTGATTCGAAGGAAGTGTTAGTCATACACCACTTGACTCTTAATCAGGGCGCTCCATTGCAGTGAATTTCTCTGTTTTCTATTTGTCAAACAATTCATCCTCTTCAAGTGTTTGAAAAATGAAATTGTATCTAGCGAGTCCATATTGATTTAACTATATGTGAAAACAAAATAACTCAATTAGCGGGAAAACGAACTGGTGTACAAATTTGCTTCCAGAAACTATTGCCCAAACTTGGTATATTAGCTTTTCTTCTGCGGTTATGTAGACTGCGATATGATACATGCACATAAATTCCGTTTTTTAAACCAAAAATGATAATAAAATAATAATAATAACAATAATAATGGATCATGTTATCCAAATTAAGACATTCTGGAGTTCTATCTTCCACCAATAAGCCCACGTTGTTTGGAGCAAGTCTGGTATGCTAGCTTGTACGAGGTGATCATATGAGTTGACTGAGGACATGTTGGAAATATTCTGAGCAGCAATCAGAACGGGTGGCATGAGATAGAGATGCTAGCGTGGTGATCAATGAAGAATGCACGACATGAGAACGAATGATTCAAAGACATTTTAGGAAACTTAAATCTAAAGAAATCCCCTGGCATCCTTACCTGTATATATAAAACGATAAGTAATGCAATGACTGAGAAGGTGTTTAGGTAACCCCAAAAAAACACTTTCTGCAAGTCGAGTCAAACTCTTCCATATATTTATTTTGTATACTGTAAAATTACTTTCAAAATCATGGTTTGATTTCCACTCAAATACCCCCTAAGACTTGTAAAGAAGTGAATGTGGAGTTTGCGTTGGTCTCTTTTTCACCTGTTGCAATTTGGTTAGGCACTGAATTTTTTTTTTGGGGGGGGGGGTGTTCAGAAAATTGTCCCATGGTCGTGGTGCGGATAAGAAATGTGCATGTGGATGGATCGTAATAATGGTCAATTCAGCTTCCAAAATCCAAATAAGTAGTATTTCTGCCTTCTGATGCAACTTCAGGTGGGACTTCTATCTTGGAGTACTTGTTCCTGCATGAAACTTCAGAAGGCTGCCATAGTGTATTAATTTTTTGGAATAATTTTATGGCCTCGTTGGACCAGACCTATGACCCTGATCTGTGTCGTCATGGAAATCAAATTAAATTGAAGGTTAAAACATTTTTATCAGATCGTAGATTGTGAACTATTCATGAATTGATGGCAGAAGATTGAACCACCCTGAATCGCCACTTGCCGCACAATATATCAGTTTGTTATGCAGTCCTTTTCTCAGGTCTTCAAAAAAAAACGTAATACCATGATGCTCCCTCCAGTACAAAGTCAACAGTTTCTCGTGGAAAGCACGTGATTCCATATTTCTAGCTGCTCAATAATTACGTATCTACAGGTTCTAATTACTTTACCTCCATCTACGTACTCTGAACGACATCAAATAGTGAACTTTTCTCTGCCTTTTCTAGAGAAAATCATGTCTTTACCTCTTTGGAATTTGGATATTGTTTGCTTATGAGTGTGTTCGGTCCAAAAACAATTCTTGGCATGATCATATAAAAACTAGTAATATAATGCTTCACTGGTACATGAGAGAAACAAAGAAACTGAGACTACCACTTATTATTTGTTGGATGAGGCATTTAACTGGAAACCCACTTCTCAGTCATCATCTGCAAGTACTAGTTTCTCCGAAAATATATACTTTATAAGATGTTGTTATTTGAATGAGGAAAGCGCAATGGGGTCATCAACACATTTTTGGAGATGTCAACCATAGATATTAATTATCTTTCAGAAGAAGCTATGATAGAGACTTCCAAATCAAGGAATGCTTTGTTTGTTGGCTTTTGTTTGGCCCTAAAAACAAGAAGCAAATAGGGAGGGGGGGGGGGAAGGAATTGTTTGTTTCCTTTGTGGTGTTTCTTATATCACTTTAAGGCTAAAAAGCCGAATCAATAGGGGAAAAGCATTCTGTTCTGCAATTTTTTTCGCCAGGTAAAAGAGTCACATAATGTCAAACACAATCTTTACTCGATATTTTGCAATGATGCCTGAAACGATATGTTTTTAATCCCCAACTCATTACATTCTATCATCATACTTCTTCTGACTTGCGCTTATAATTATATTCCTCAGGTCTTTAAGGCTTAAAGATCCATCATTTCTATTTTCTAACGACAGTGAGTCTAATCTGTCTCTGTGACATTGTTTTGCACATTCTACTTCTAATCACGAAACAAATTAAAAGCTCTCAGTTATGTTCATGTTCAGCGCACCAAAATGGCATCCAATTTTAGCCCAAACACCAAGCATCATTGTTATCTACCTAACCTTCCTTTTCTTTCATTTCCTTGTTCTAGTCCCGATTACCATATGAAGAAACAAAGCTTGCTGGTAAACAATATTTTCATAGTGAAATGTGTCGTTCAGCCATGCGCTGTTAAGATAAGAATTCAACACAAACTTAGTGGATTATATTATAAGTTTTAAATTGAAGATAGAGCTGACGGTAGGGTCTTAACTTTAATCATTAGCTAGGATGAGTTGAAACTGAGGTTAGTGTTAATATATAAAATAAAAACAATAATATATAATAGCTGTTTATTTTTAGACATATGTAATGAACACCGATGACATAGTTGGGACATGGGTTTTTCTTTTAAGCTTGCTTTCCCTTTTAAGGAGGAGGCAGTTCCTGTCGGCATGAAAATATGCTAGGCTAGGAATTGTTAAATTCAAAACCTTTTTTTATTACTCTCCAAAAGCATTTTGTCGGACGCCCCATTAGTTGACCCATAAAGTATTACAACATTTACAGTAATTAACATCATATCTTTCCCTTCATTTTTTTTTTCCACGTTAATTTCTTTCTTTGTTACGTTGATGCTCTCAGGTTTAAATTACACTCGTTTCCCTATAATTTACTAAAAATATAATTTATACCGTTTCCCTTTCCATACTTCCATTTGATCTAATTTCGTTGACATTTGATATATATATATATATATATATATAATATTAAAAAAAATTCTAACCTTTCTACCAATAATTTTTTTGAAACAAGTTAAGATAATTAATTCAACTAGACTAGAAGAAATGATACATGTAGTTGACGTTAGTTATAAGCTGTGGGTGGGCATAATTAGATAAATTATTTAGGGTTGGACTGATTGTGAGAAGGAAGGCTTTGCATAGGTTAACGTTTTGAAGAAGAACGAAAGGAAAAAAAGCGAAAGGGTTTAGAGGAATGATGAAGGGTTTTTGGTTTCTTTTATGGAGTGGTTTCATTATGACATTTCTGGAAGCTGCCTTTTTAATAACACCAATGTTACTGCCTCTAATTTTGCTGATAATGATTATCATTATCACTGTCCACACACATAACTACTGCCTCCACAACCAGAGGAATATTGAGAATCATCAAACTATCTATATTCCCCCAATCGACGTCATCGCTAAATTTCTGTTTGATGAGATGATGATGATGATCAAATCGCAAACTGCAGATTTTTCTTTTTTTCCACCCTTAATTGTTTTATGGGAAAGGGGAAATAAATTATTAACTAGTATGATGATAATGAAACTGGGAATCTGTATAATGGAATGTAATCATGGCTTAATGGAAGGAGGTTTAGCAGTTTGCTCATAATGTTGTGTGGAACCGACCATAATGATTACGGGTTAAGCATGTTGCAGCATTTTGTCAATGTCTGTCATAATTTCCAGCTTTCAATTTGCTCATCATGTAGGAGAGCAGCAAGACCTAATTAGGCTACTTCAAATTAATTTATATAGTAAAGCTCAATTAACTTCACAGGACCACTTTTCTTTATTTATTTATTTATTTTTGTAGGCAGAGAGAGGTATATGGATTGGATGGTGATATGTATGGGATGGTCATCACAAAAATGCATGCGTTCTGAGTTCTGACACGGAGGCTGAAGATTTCTGAGGGAAGATGGTTTTCCAAATGAAGAGGACGCTTTTGACTTGTTGTATGGCTTTGCGTGCAAATCTGCAGCAGCTTTATTCTGATTCATACATGACTCTCGTATTTTACGGCTTTATTCATCACTCCTTCTTTCTTTCATCGTTACCCATGGTCTGATTTGATCTCTCTCTCTTCCCTCTTAATTCCTTCGTTATATATTGATTTATTGTGATGTTAAGGGAAGTCCCAAGAGATAGACAGCAAAACCCACAGCTACCCAGCTTAGCTTCTTCAGCTTTGCTTGTGTAATCAAACTGTGTCAGAAGGAAGCTGACCGCCATGCACGCACATACATATAATGAATCTTCATGCAAGCCTAGTAGTAAACATGGAGTTATGGGGCTGACTGATCCTGCTGTGCCAGCCACGCCCAAACACGGCGATCATCCACTTCATCAAGCAAATTCAGATAATAATACATAATATACTAATTTTAACTAGATTAATTTAAAATATATAAATATAGAAACAAGAGGCAGACGTGATGGGATTTCTGGTGTTTCATCATCATGTGATTAATGAACACTACCAACTATACCAAGAATATAGAGTGATGGGATTTGATCCAATTTCTACGGTCATCAATATAATCATGTGTATGTGGTGGGGGGCGGGAAACTTGGAAAGGACAATGAGATTTCCTATTGACCAGTGAAATTGATAAGACTAATATATTACTATTGACGAGTAAAAGAGTAACAGAAAGTGTGTCAACAAACGCAATGAAGGTAAATTTTGTGATGGCATACATTTGACAGGAGCAGGAGGTGATGGGGATTGGGGAATAGAGAGAGAAAGGCAGGTAAATAGGGGATGCAGTAAGAGGGAAACCCTAGAGCAGTATAAGGTAAAAAAAGGGGTAAATCCAAGGAGGATGGCCCCCCACAAAGAGATGAATCAGAAGGCAGCGAAAACAGCATCCCTCATGTTACGATAGGTCAGACTCACATTATCTCCCTCTTATTATTCATCCCTCTGACACTTCTCTCTCACACCCCACCATCTCTATCTCTAACCCACCCCCTCTGAATTCATTTGTTCTCTTGTCTGTTCCTCTATATCTCTCCCTCTCCCACACGAGCGTCCTCCTTCTCTCTCTCTCTCCCTCTCCCCATATTATACTCCTATATATATATATATTCAAATAATATATATATCACCATCTTTTCAGACACAACAGGAGCTGTGTCATTCGCTGTGTTGTATTGCATGGGCCTTCTTTTTCCTTTTCATATAATTTGAGTATTCATTTGACCACCTGCTCTTTGAAGACAGCAAAAGCTAAGAACCATGACACCATCATTTTTTTTTAATGAAAAAGAAAAGAAAAGAAGTCGTCATCGTCTTCATTCAAACTCGTGCTGATGAAAACAGATACTAGAATAGGAAAATTACATAGAGGTAGTAGGGGGAAGGTGGTGGGATCATCTCAAAATCTTTAATTTGCTCGCTAGAAATTTCCTGTACTATCAACATCGTTTGTCACCTTGTTTCATTCAACACCAGAGAAAGAGAGCTCCCAAATTTTTTTGAAAAAAATATTAAAAATAAAAAATTTACAGTTCATATATGCCGGAATACATCATAAGTCGCTGCCGTTAGATCTTGTGAGAATGACGTTAACGGATAGCTGTTGAAATCCATGGAACTGTGATTCTGAAGCTGCACCGCTTCTTGCCACGAGCATGTGTTCATCAGTTCCTCCGATTTTATACCATTCATTTGAAACTGAAACGAAGCCTCCGTCGTCTTGTTCTCTCCCTCCCACGATAACACCCCTCCTCCAATATTATTATGCTCCATCACATAACTGCTCATATTTGAGCTGTTATTGCTCGAACTGATCTTTGAAGCCGAATTATTGTTTTCTGAGAATTCCGTTATCGCCGACAAGTTGTTCTGATCCGAACTTGTCAAACTCGGCAATGAACAGATCCCGTAGCTTGAACTGGTTCCATACTGATACTGACTCGTGTATGGGTCGTAGTACGACAAAGGGTCGACCCATTCAAGAGGCTTATTGCTCATGCTCATCAGGATTTCGTCTCTGCAGGAGGCTTCTGTTAAAACAGCTGCATCGTGATAGCTTGAATTGCTTATCAGAAAAGGTGATCCCTGTGACTGATGTGAGGAGGCTAAGTTTGAGAAATGACGCATATTTTGCAGAGATAATGGTGCTGGTGTTTCTAAGCTATTGTTCTCCTGCTTGATTTGAGTGAAGGGTTTGTGGGTGGCTGGGTCAATCCCTTGTTTCAGCAGCTTCTTCTTCAAGCATGAATTCCAGAAGTTCTTGATTTCGTTATCTGTTCTTCCTGGCAACTGCGCTGCAATCTGAGCCCACCTGAAAATCCAAAGTACTTATTATCTCAGTTCAGAATTATACAACTCTGCAGAACAAAACAGTTCCATTTTTCTCATCTTTTTTCTTGAATGATATCAATAGTCATCGATCATATCTACCTGTTGCCCAGAACTTCATGGAGACTCAGAATAATATCCTCCTCTTGTTGCGAGAACATGCCTCTCTTCAAATCAGGCCTCAGATAGTTTATCCATCTCAATCTACAACTCTTTCCACATCTTTGAAGTCCTGGAACTCGAAAAAGAGAGCGATGAGACACACTCACACTCTGTTTATTTAACCTGCAGATAATCAACGAAAACAGGTAGAAGAGAGAATGTGTGGGGAATTACCAGCTAGTTTTGGGACGGAGCTCCAGCAGCCAACCCCAAATCTAGTTATGTGGTTGAAAAGCTTCTCGTCTTCTTCAGGGGACCATAAGCCTTTCCTCAACTTTTGCTTCGCACAACAGGAATGGCGACCCATTTGTGTGAGAAGAGGATCGCGGCAAGCTCTAAAGGGAGAAGCAACTGTTACCTGCAAAATGCTTGGGTCACAGAGACGTTTTCAGGGTGGGGAATATATGTATGTTGTGGGGAGGGGAAAACCCAAGAACTAATCGTGTTGATTTAAAAAGAAGATGGATAAATCATACTTAGAATTGAAGTTATGAGAGACACAGAGAGAGAGAGAGAGAGAGAGAGAGGGGGGGAGGACTGGGGAGGAAGGTGAAGCAATCAAGTGGGTTTTACGCAAATCCGACGCTGCTTTTTGCATTGGACTGGATTGGCTTTTAAGATATCCTTATTTCAAGGGAAAAAAGTATTATTATTGTTGTTGTTGTTGTTATTATTATTAAAAGAATTAATATAAAGCAGAACAGCTTTGTGAATGTGCCCATATATAACCTGACTTACAAAGATTGGAAAAAAAGTCATATTTGTACTAGCTCTATTTTTTTCTCCATTGGTCTATATGTTATATATATGTGTGTGTTATTTAATAGAAATGAAACCTTTGAATATCTTGCTGCAGCCTACGTGTATATTATTCATATTGTAAACCTTTTCCTTTGCCTTTAAGCTCTATAATTAGGTGGACTAACACAATTGGATACATATTCTTTCTCCGTTCTCACATTACTTTTTGATTATTTTATACCATGTGAAAAATATTTCAATACAACACAAGCCAAACGAGAACCTGTCGACTTATTAAAATAATTTGTTTCACAACTAAATTATTTTATTATTGAAAAACATCGGCTCGCTCTTCGGTCTCCTAAAAATAGCGTAGCTAGTCTCTCAATTTTACGTATAAGTATATATATTATTTCAGTTATTTTCCATTTGATTTTTGGAAAAAATAACTGCGGAAAACAAAATTGAAATTAAGGGCTATACATATAAATAATACAGATAGTTCAAAAATAATAAGTTGCGTGTAATATTATCTTAATAATAATTATTACAACCTCTATTATAATATTCACTAAAGGGAGGTCACCCGCAATCCTTCTTGCGAGGCGTCAGATTTTATTAGTGAGGTCTAACCACAGAGATTATTGCGCAAATTTAAACTTAGCATTTTAAATAGTTTTAATAGATCTCACCGTATATTAACTATAAAAATATATTTTGTTTTTCCTGCAAACAACTATAAAAGTATCTAACGAGGATAAATTAATAGATTTACTACAGACTATTGCCTCTGCCCAAGATTGTCAAACTCACGAGTTTAAACAGACTCGTGATAGTGATATAAACTCGGACCGTAAACTCAAATAATAAACTCGTAAGAGTTTACTTTTATTAAGAAACTGGTATTAAAAGTATATAATCAAATAATTAATATATAAAAAACAAGGACAATTTCATTTAAATATATTTTTAATTTCAATAATTAAAATTATATCCATCAATGTTCATAACTTATCACATTCAACAAAAAAATTTTAATAAAATTTATATATATAGTCACTAAACATAATCAAATTCAAAAATTTAACATGAGTTTAAGAGCGAGTTGATATGATTTTGTAAGTTAAAAACGTAAAAGCGGTAAACTCGATAAATGAACTTATAAGTTTAATCGAGTTTATAATTATCACGAGTTTAAGAGCAAGTCGATACAATTTTGTTAGCTGAAAACATAAAAACGTTAAACTCGGAGAGTCAACTCGTGAGTTTTACAACATTGCTTTGCCTATTTTCCCCTCAATGAGACATTGTAGGAGTATCTTAAATTTAATTTATGTATAAGAAAATTAGAAATCAAATCTTTATTTATTAATGGAGAAATGAGATCAAATCTCTATCATTTAGGCTGATCGGAGTAACATCAGTTTTAAAGGATTATGACCGTTTAAGTATGAGGCCTTGAATTTAATTATATATAAATAGCAAAGCTGTTGAGATAACTAATTCCATCAACAATACTTAAATCTGACATAATTATCGGAAGTTATGTAAAAAGAAGATAGCAGGAAAAAATGAAGTAGAATTCGTTTAAAAGGTACGGATTACAAGTTTAATAGGAAAAAAATGGAGAAATCTCAGAATTCTTGTGACCGGCAGAGGAGACCAACAACGAACGATTTAGGGCAGTTTAGAACAAATCACATTAATTTATTTCAAACTGCATATTTAATACCAGGTTAAGGCATTATCGGTCATGCTAGTCTGAAGAATACCTAATTTGATTATTAAGATTTTCTTTGTTATTATTATCTTTTTTTGCCATCAATAATATACTACGGATCAAACAAACTTCAATGCCCTCATGAGGGCAAGCTTTTCTTTATCTAAACGTCTAAAATACTGAAAACAAGGCGACACCAGTACATTACGGACTTGTGGTCTCCACTCTCCACTAAAAATTTGACTCTTAATTATTTTAATGGGAAAAAAGAGCCAAAAGCGTTTAAATTTGATAAAAACAACAAAACTATCTAATTAGAACTCAATTTCTAAATCATAGATCACAACATCTTTTATATATTATCATTTAATTTTCAGAGATAATCAAGGCACTGCATAATTTAAAGCGTTCTGCTATTAACGGTGTCATCACAAGGGAAATTCTTCTCCAAAAAAAAAAAAATATAATTAGGATGACAAGTATATTTAGCAAAGTCGTGTTCCTTTTTCTTTGAATCATGAATTTGGCTTAAAAATTAAATCATTGATCTTTCAGCAAATTGTATCATGAGTTCAACTTCACAAGCAAGATTTCTTTTTCACTAAACATAGAATAAAATCTTAGACAAGCACATTTCAACCGTCTATGTGTACTATAACTTTGAAAAACTAGGCGCGAGATGAACAAAGAAATTTTTTTCCCGGAGTCAGACTCAAATTGCAGTCCCACGTTTATTAGTAATAAATTATTTTTTTTATAAAATACGGCTGCTTAATAATTTATTACCCATCCTTAACAAATGACTTTTTAAAAATACTTTTTTTAATTTAAGGATCTGGTTAGGAGGAGCACTACTTTGCATTGTAAGTGCGTCCCTGTTTCGGGGAGACAAATTCGATCGGTCACTAAACGTGCAGCATCAAGGACTTTCCATGCAGAGAATATTACTTATTAATATACTTATCAACCAAAAAACCATTAATTATTCAATCTTAAATGATTTTTTTATTCAAAAAATTTGCATTTAATTTTATTTTAAGTACATTGATAAAGACCCCCCTCTAGTATGTTTGTCCTAAAGAAATTTAATTTAATCGAAATGATGTTAATATTAAAAAATAAAGTCAATATTCACTGTATAAAGAATACTTGCTACTATTTATTCGCTATTCGTTTACCATTCAATTAAACTGGGGAATGTTATTCTCAGATTTCAATATTGATGTAAAATTGCATAAAGGGACTTCTTTTTTTAAGTTGTTTCCATTGTCAATAAAAACCCAGTGATTTTTTTTTGTTGGTTCCAACCTCATGTTGAGACATATTTACAAAGTCCAGTCCGGATTAAGGTTTATGCAACTCATTAAAAGAAATTAAGTTAATTAAGGGTATACAAATGTTTGAAAGTTAAGCTAGAGAAATGACTTGTGAGAGCACGATTTTCACTTTTACCTTAAATATGGAATGACTTTAAAAAAAAAAACGTTTTTCATTTTAGATGTTTTTTATAAGAGAGAATTGAATTATTGTGATTCCTATTCGAGTAACTTGATGTTTGCTCTAGTCTTGAAGTTTTCCTTGCACTTGATTTTACCCCAAAAAAAACATACTTATGGATGTATACGAAATTTATTTTATTTCTTGCCAAACATGAGGAGAAAATTTGTGATTGTTTTGTATCCATATATTTATTTCAATACTCATGACTATAAAAAATCTGTACAACACAAATAACATAATAAAATTGTGTTTTTTATTTTACAATATAACAACATAATCATTAAATATTCTATATAATAATGTCATGAATATTTGATGAAAAATATTTTTATACTTAGTCATTAAAATGTATAATCTTAATTCACATCACTTGAAATATAAAAAGTAACTGCATGATTAAGGTCGGAAGCGAAAAGTGGCTAACCAAACAATATGAGATTTTTTTAGTGTTAGGAAAAGGGAAATGGAAAATGGGAAGCAAACAGGTGTGTAACAATTAATCATTTAATATTACCTCTGCTTCTAAATAGAAGAGTTAGTTGACTAATTTGAACATATTAAAAAATAAGTTAAATTAATATTTATAATAAATAAGTATTGTCTTTTTTAAAATATCTTTACTAATCAAATTTATTAGCTAGAACTACTCTTATTAGAAAAATTATATTGAAAAAATGAATAAATATGAGAGATAAAGTAATTAAATTTTATATTTAGAATTAAAATAAAAATCAAATGATTGTTTATGTATTAAAGACAGGAGGTAGTATTAATTTTTATATAAGCTTAGAGTTGAAAAATTAAAATCAGCCCACAGTGGTTAGATCATCTCTCAGAGGCGCAACCATGGCCGACAGTTGCGTACGCCTCCCAATTCAGAATCCATACAATACAGTATGGAGTAGTTTCTTTCTCGTAATTGTATCCCCGACCCCCAAAAATTTGAGATAAGACTAAT